TCTGTTGTCTAAAAAGAAAGGCCCAATAACTTGTCGGAGAATAGCTCCTCCCCAAACATTCAAGCTCCATTTATTTTGAAAATCTATTTGCCTAACCCAGTAAGGGTTTTTCGTCGCATAATAGTGCATGTTATGCCTGTTGACACCACCTATGCTGTTAAAAGCTGCCTCATCGCTAAAAAAAACCTTATCTAGGAAAGTAGTGTCTTCACTCACTTTATTTAGCATTATCTACTAAACTCCATTCGAGCTGCGAAATCCTGAGGACGAAGGCCTTCATGCAAGCATAGGTGATTTTTTTTGGCACTAGGAAATTGCGTCCCATTAGCCAGATCCAATCTTGTATATGTATATCTCTAATTATGGACAAACACACCACGTCACAACATTCATGGCGAAGGCGAGATTCGAACTCGCGGCCCGGCCGGCCGGCTGATCAGTAGCACGACACTCTGACCCACGCGGTCCCCCATAGGTGATATGGATGGTACGTTTATGAATAATCCTTTAGACGGAAATTCTGCATATACCAGTTTCTGCTCTAATTTGCCGTGCACTCAAATGGGGATTTTTCTGTAACTTTAATAGAATCTCCAACTGATTCTCCTCATTGGTGACACTTCGATTATTTATACATTTTTTACTATATTCTACTGCTCCATTTGATTCTAAACGTTCTCGTAGTGTGGAAAATGTTTCCCGCCTTGGATGTGGTATATTAGGGTAATGTTGCTTATAAATGCGAGATGCTAGGAAACTATTTCTTTGGGTTTCGCCCATATTCACCATTTCTTCTTTAGAAGAATTCATTTTCAAACACGTTTTTATTATAATGCTCACACAAACTTAATTTTGAAAGTTTGTAACTAATCAACAATTTATTTATTTCCAAGGATGATGCGGTATTTTAGGGAATTAAGCGTGCTAATAACCGAAAAAATAGATGTAAAAACGCTTATGTGTCTAGTATCAAAAAAAAGCTTATAAAATTGAATCCAAACTTGCACATATATACAGGGTGATGGATTTGAAATTTTTGAGAAAAACTACAATTTGCGTTTTTACCACCCAGTATGAGCAAAAATTAAAATTAGGAAAATAAGATAAAAGCTGGGACATGTAAGTTTTTGTTTTATACAAAGTGCAGCACTTCAAATTATAAATTGGTGGACTGAGGGGTTGCCGAATTGTGGGTTTTCGTAGACAAAACATCTTATATCTCAGTAGCTAATTACGAAAACTCCATAGTATGTCATATCAATTTTCTTCTTTTGAATTGGTTTATCCACACATAATGCAATAAAATTTGAGGCATTCCGTTTGAAAAAATCACAGCTTTGATACATATCGAAATCGGGACACCCTGTCCAATGGCCAATATTTTAGAAATGTGCCCTCAAATGTCAGGTATAACATTTCATAAATCGATTTTGCCAAAATGTATTTGTTTATGAGTAATATTTCGTCCACATGTGGATGGGCCACCTTGTATCTATATATATATATATATATATATATATATATATATATATATATATAATAGTTTATAGTGTTATAATGGTTTTGTAGTGTGCTTGTTTGCTCTTGGTCTGTTTGTCTTAATTTGTTCGGATGCGCTTGTTCTATGCTTTTCTATTTAATCTAAATTCATAATATCATTGTACAGTTATTCTGTTAATGTTTTTACAATTAGAAATGTTGTACTGTCCAACAAATTTTCATGTTTTGTGAATTTACACTTTTGTAATTTAACTTCTTCTTTGACCTGTGTAGGCACGCAAGCGTATTAAGCACCAATAAAGAAAGACCAACAGTTTCTCATTATGAATCCATACGCCTTTGATGCGGTATTAACCATTATTGAGACATGGTCAATAAAAGACAAACTTGTGTCAAAAACGGCTACTCCCAGATTTTTAGTTTTCTGACAACGAGAAAGTACCTCATATCATATAGTGTAGTCGAATACTAACGGACTTTTTCTTCTGGTAATACTTACTACGTTACACTTTCTTTACATTCAAATCAAGTTTGTTTACTTGATACCAAGTCTGAATATTATCTCATTCCAACTATAACGTATGACAGTCCTCTATACTTGTAATAGATAGAAAAATCTTCAAATCTTCAGATTAAAGCAGTTTATTACAATTACGAGTGTCACACAGGTCATTTATAAATAATGTGAAAAGCACTGCACCACGATTTGACCCCTGTGGCACCCCCGATAAGCAAGGATAGTTATAAGAGTTGTAACTATTATATGAAACAAATTATATTCTGTTAGATGAATGTGCATTAAAACAATAGCAAAGATGTACGAACTGAGCCATAATTTTTAAGTCTGTTTAAATCAAACATGAAGACATTTTTTGTCAACTAAAGGATGAGGCTGTCCAAAAATGTTATCCTCAAACCAATGATATAAGTGAGTTGATTTGTATGGAGATCATGATGTAACACTTCAACTAGTTACTGAACTGTGTGAAATATTGTCATGTTATTCTGAGATACCCTGTATAGTTCGAGATCCCTTTGAGAAAAAATGCATAGCACTTGCATGTATACCGTATGGCTGTATGCTTGTAGGAGGCAAGTGACAACGACTGTCTGAGTGGGAACGTAAAGCGCTTCATGTCCTTCACATTAAATGAACCATTAAAATGTACGTGTTATTACCAGTTTTATCTCCAGGATAGCCCGTCACTGTAATTCTGGAGATATTATGTGTGTATTCCGTCTTTCTCATCGTTTTTTCATGAGATGAGAAGACGCAATGGGAATACAGAGTACCCCTTGTTGAGCTCTTGTCGAACAGATCCAAGGGCTACGTTCTAGTCCGGTTCCAAAGGAAAAAATGAAACAAACTACTCATAGCCCAAAGTAAAAACTTGATATCAGAGGCGTACCTAAGTATTTGCACCGTATGGGCACTACGACTTATATCGGCGCAGAAATAGTATCTTTATACCATCAACTGAAGAAACCATCATTATCGGCCGCACTAGGTAAGTGAAGGCAGCCAAAAAATACCTAGGTGCATATTTTTTTATACTTCAACTACCGCGAAGGCGTAAGGTCTAAACACCGATGGAGTATTGTGGGGCTATATGTGGATACCGGGAAAAAGGGGAACGCCACATGGACTCTAGCGAGGGATCACGTATGCATGCAACATGCACTCATTCTGCCCCCCCTACGAGATCCGCCGGATGGTACCTCCGCGTTCGAGAGTCAGAGATCGTCTACCACTTACGGACGATCACAAATCCACAGTCAAGAGAAAAATATCTTCTTGGGGTGGGAATCAAACCCGCGCAGCGCACGGCGACTGATCAGGGGACCGAAGAGTCTACCGCTACGGCCACCGCTGCTGCGTGCCAGTTCAACTTGTATCCTGCTACCTTATAATTTCAGTATAGCAACTAAATTTTATATTCCGGAATATTTGAAAATAACGAAAAAATAACATTTCAGTATTTTAATAATCAGGAAGGTAATGGATAATAGGTTTTAATGCTAACAGAATGAAAACACAACCGGAGGTGCTAGCATTTACCTCCAGGCCAATTCGCAGCCTAAATCTGCTTCCTATTGTCAAAGTATTTGTGTTAATTATTGTAAAACGAGTACGAGTCATCATGATTGATGATTTACAAATAGATTAGGTACAATAAAAGAAATCAAATCTTACAAAATCGAATGTATTAGTATGTATTGTCCGTGTAAAAAATCTATACGTACCTCGTTTTAGAAAATCACTATTGACATGACTCATCATATTACTCGGCACTATGTGCTCAACCAATAATGGATTACTTCTCAACCTAGGTATGTAATGTACTATTTTCCCGTGTCCATTAGCCAAGCACCTCCAACAGAAGTACTACACTACTACACCAAACTATATCATTTGATTCGCCCAACGACATCGACTGATCTCGTTCAAGATGCTTGTCTTTTTTCTGTATTTGATTACAAAAAATACATATTTGTTTTTTCCAAAAACAATGATCCCACATCCCGCCCTTCCATACATACCAAGGCATGCCTTGGTATGTATGGAAGGGCTCATGAGCTAAAGATTACTGGAACAACACAATCTGCCAGACTTTCTAGAACCACCGATGGTGGCGTCATCAGACGAACACGATCCTAACTAAGCCACCATAAGCCATAACTTTTTTGTAGGAAACGACACAATTCAATCACACTCGCATACTGTATCATATGTACCACGTATTGTATCCCACCTTTTCATACTTTTATGTCATTATCCTGAAATCGCTAAAAGAAAGCAAATGTTTTGTTAACCCTTGATCGTGAGAATCTGGAAACCGGCAAGAAAGTTCTATTTAAAATGATGTTAAAGGTAAAAAAATGGTAGTTTTAATTCGCTGCTATTAAACCATAAACATATCACATATTCTTGCATTTATAATTTTTCTTCTGACTCTCACAATTAACAATTATGTTTTTACATTCGAAACGCTGATATCACTATGCATTTTTGATACAATTAGTGTGCACTGTTTTCTCTAGATGGCGCTCATGACAAGATAAAGAGCCACCTGGCTGGACTGTCAATATTTACGTTTCAGCGATTTGTATGCCTCTATCGTACCATCTATCCATTTAGATGTTCAATTAGAATTAGGATACTATTCCAAAGATCAGTTTCCATAAAGCCTTAGTGTACGTGCACATACAAGGTGGAATCAAGGTAGGCGTAGCGTTGCGAGCAAGGCGGAAAATACAAACTAATATAGTTCAATGCGAGGGTGCATACTGTTGGCTAGCCGTAGCGAGTCGTAACGAGTCCACGGGGAGCGATCCTCTCTAAAACAAATCAGTTTGTCTTTGAGCGTGAAAGATTGCGCATTAGATATGGTCATATCGAAAAATTAATAGATGAGGTATTTATTAGGAGATGTTGGGGGCAGCCAAGCAGATCATGTGTCCAGCTGGGTGTGGTTTAAAAACCTGTTTTTTTCTTAAAGATCAAATGGTTTTAAGAAAAATAAGCAGCTGTCTTCAAATGTCTTGCACTGTCTCCGCTGGTCCATCATGCACACTACCTAAAGATTCGCAAGGAGATACGCAAGAGATAGATGATGTCACTGAAATTGAAGGGATTTCAGAAATAGAAGGTCAAAATTCTGCTACGGATCAACAAACACCAACCGTATTAAACAACAGTAGCTATACAAAAAGAAAGAGGGGTGCTGGGATTGACTATGAATTGCAAAAACCAGAAAAGAAGAAGATTCGAATCATCGAAACACAACTAGCTCAATCACAGAATATCCCAAACCAGAAGATGATTTATATTACTTTTTAGTGAGTCTCCATAAACCTTTAAATGATCTCACGATTGATCGACAAGATACAGGAATTACTTTACAGTGAAATTATCAGTGCAAACCAATATCAACAAAATACAACAAATGGTTTAAATGTTCAAAATTCTGCAGTTAACACATTCATTCCCAGTCAAAGCACTCAGTACACAAGTCCACCGTCTGTATCTTCTGTTTATTAAAATACGTCAGCTAGCAACAATAATGATAACGACCTGTATTACAGTGAATGTAATTAGTCAGTAAGAGAAGAAATACTTACATTTTTTTTACAGAGGTACACTGAAAACTGAATTTTTTCATAGTATACATAGATAAGTTCGTGCTAGAATATGTTAATACTGTCAGTGTATGAAAAAACAGTAATGAAATACATATATCATTAAGCACCAGTATTTTCATTTCTGTATAAGTTTTACTCTTCAGATATTTTCCATATTTACAAGTCTTACAACAATGATTGCTATGGTAATTATTTAGAGGATAAATTTACTGGTAGATGAAGATACCGGCACGAAGTGGAAAATACTATAAGTATACTCAGACAAATATATTATATTGTTTATTTTAAATAGATCTTTTTCTTTGAAATGTTTCTTTTTATTTTAAATTCCTTATGCTAGACTAGTTCTCGTACATTATGATTTATTACCAATAAAATAATGCTAAAGATGGATTAGCGCACCAGAGAATAAGAATAAGCATAATAGTAGAGTTAATATAAAACATGCAATATTTTTATCTGTGAGTAGGTAGGGATTTAATATAATACGAACCTTAAGGTTAATACTAGCTTCTCAATAGGTGATGGCTTTTCGAAAAATTTTATTTTGTTTCTGGATACACCTTTCTACTTTTCATGAAATATAAGAAAAAGTACTTTCATTCATTCGAAAATATCTGTAAACCCTTTCGGAGTCTTTTTGTAAACTTTTATACAAATGAAAAAAACTCTCCAAATCTTTCTCTCGATCGATTGATGTTGTGAGTCCAAAATCTTCTTTTCTTTTCACTTAGACATAACGTAGCTCAGCAGCATACAAGCATCTTAAACTTCTCTCGTTGTCGCGTATGACCTGAGAAAACTTCCTAAACAAATTTTCTTTATCTGCGGAGTTCAACCTCATTCAGTGATTACTCTGGGTAATTACCAAAAATAGCATGAAATATGGAAGAAGTACGCTAAGCTACCTAGGTATTAGAAAGGATTAAGTCGTTTAAGTAAATTTAATAAAACTTTAAAACATTTCCCAGACAGGAGATAATAAAATAAATATAACTCGAGACTCCAGCTCTTCCATTTGCTGGATTTGCCAGACGCTCTACGCGTATAAGCTTACGTCACATGAAACTGGGATATAACCTAAAATATTCATAAACTTGGTACTTGCATGTACTAAAAGTTTTGGTATATAATCGAATGGGGCATATTCAAGGAAAATGTGAGCTCCGAACATCCTCTATATATATTGAAAAGTCAAAAGGAAAGCCAAAGTATTACAATCGAGGAAAAATTTCGAAGTTGAGGTATTATATTTTTTGAATGTTACAAATTGTATAAATTGTACCATTTCCCTCATCTTCATCCGTCTATTTGTCTGTCCGTCTGTCCGCTAATCATATCCCATCTATAACTCTGAAAGCACCACTCATATTCTGATGAAATTTTGAAATCAAAACAAAGCTACTACTACATCAGGGATGAAAAACGTTTGTAGGTTTTGAAAATCGATACAGTGGTGGCGAAGTTGCAGGCAAAAAACAGAAAAAACCAAAATCGCCTACAACTTCCTCGTTTTCGAAAATTTATTGGGGACTGTAAGGTGTACAAGGTTGTAAGTGCTGCATCTTTGACATCACTGAAAAATGTTCTATTGATAAGAATTTTCTGGTCACCGTAATACAATGCACTATTAGACATAATAGTAACACATATTTTCGGTAGATTTGCCATTCAAACAGAAATATTTTATTTTCGTCTTTACAAATATAATAAAGGTGCAAGTAAAATTAGTCTGGAAGGAATGTTGCTAGAAGTGAACATATATATATATAACTTGAGACGTGGTCATTGTCGTCTAGACCAGTTAGGTGAAAAATTAAAGCTTCCGCCTTTTGTTGGGTACTTCGACAAAATTTAAGCAAAGAGGACTCTTTATACTTGTCTTAATTTTATCTAGCTTTCAATGGACTTTGCCATCATTATCAGGAGCTGCAATTACAATGATAACAGTAGCAACAATAGTGTAAAATGAATTTAAATTGACTTAACTTACAGTAGTATGTGAGGATGTTGCTAATTGTTGTTTACGTTCAGGATGAGGGAAACGTCCAGTAACATGGTGAAAGCTGGATAGATGGTACAATGGTCAAAATTATATAAAATACACACAAATGTGTGACAAGAACAAGTTAAAACAGATTAAAAATTTTTTAGAACATGAAAGCATTACATCGTGAAGCCACTTGATGATTGCACAAAATGGTGGTCATGGAATAATGAGTGAGATGAACCCTTTGACAGAAGGCCGAAGGTTGTCAATGTCTGTGTAGGAAGATGAAAACAAGGGTAATCAGCATCTCAGACAATACTTTCCACACCTCAAATTTACGTAAACTATCAAAACTGTTTATCAATAACGGTTATCCGAAGTGTCTGATTAACAAGATCTTATTAAGTTCACCTTCCAATATTTTGCCAAACTCTAATGATACAAGTAATAGTCGCATAACCCCTAATAACAGAACTGATAGAATTCCCAACAATAACATCAATTCAAACAGTACAAACACCAACCCAAACTCCAGACCTGGTTTTGCTGTCCTACCCTATATCAAGGAACTGACCCCTAAGCTGATCAGATTGTGCAGTTCTTTGAACTTTTGAATTGCTTGCAAATCTGTCCTCACTATAAACTGCATTTTTTCAAAAATGAAATACAGAGTCCCGCTGCTTGGCTTAACCAACATAGTCTACTCCATCAATTGCAACAACTGCAACCAAATATAGATAGGTCAGACCTCCAGATCTCTTAAAGGAAGGATTACATCACACAAAAGTGATTCTAGGCTTCATCCTGAAAGATGCGCTCTAGCATCTCATGTTAACACAAGAGGGCACTCTATGAATTACACAAGTATCAAAGTTCTTGATAAAGAAAAACACCCATCCAAACGTTTATTCCTGGAAATGTCCCACATTTCTGTATCGACAAAAAGACAGATGTTAAGCAACTGAGTGTCATTTACTCATATTTGCTAAACTGGGAAAAATTGGAGAACTTACATATCTCCCCAAATTTTGACTCTTCACAACCTTAAATGGAATCTGTTTCTTGGTCGATTCCACCAATAAACTTCATTCCACTCAAATTCTAATAATTTTCTCCTCACGATTTAATAATAATTGTTAATTTAATTTCCCATTAATTAAAATATAGTTAATTCAACTGCCTCTGGTCGGTTTAACAATTTCGTACATAACATTCTGAAAATCACATCATCTGAAGTGATTTGGCAACGTTGGCACACGCCCACAATTCGTTCCATCTTTCTACATAGACATTGACAACCTTCGGCCTTCTGTCAAAGGGTTCACCTCACTCATTATTCCATGACCACCATTTTTGTGCAATCATCAAGTGGCTTCACGATGTAATGCTTTCATGTTCTAAAAAATTTTTAATCTGTTTTAACTTGTTCTTGTCACACATTTGTGTGTATTTTATATAATTTTGACCATTGTACCATCTATCCAGCTTTCACCATGTTACATCCCTCATCCTGAACGTAAACAACAATTAGCAACATCCTCACATACTACTGTAAGTTAAGTCAATTTAAATTCATTTTACACTATTGTTGCTACTGTTATCATCGTAATTGCAGCTCCTGATGATGATGGCAAAGACCATTGAAAGCTAGAGAGAATTAAAAAAAGTATAAAGAGTCCTCTTTGCTTAAATTTTGTCGAAGTACCCAACAAAAGGCGGAAGCTTTAATTTTTCACCTATATATATATATATATATATATCTGTGCCTTAGAGGTATATAGTTGTAACTCCATATAATGCAATTCAGAGAACAAGCAAATTAAAGATCGAGTTACTAGCAGAATGGCTTTTTGTTCATGTTACTGTTAATATGCGAATATAATTTTTTGGAAAAACATTATATGGTACACAGAACAGTAATGCTTCATGCTAATGATCTTAGAATTTGATAATCAGATTACTTTGTGAGTTACGACAATTTACTATGATAATAAAATCCAGGTGCAGCATAGGATGAAACACAGTAACTACAATAATTCGTGGAAATAGCTACATTTTATTATTACAAAAATGATATCTGGATAATATATATTCAATCGTCGTCGTCGTCATCATCTCCTTGTTGACCTAGCGCAGGAATATTTTTATAAAAAACATGAAATGCTTCTGGTATCCATTTCGGAAGCATGAGAAGATGATCGAGCTTTTTCTTGCTTTTGGGATTTGACGCGGCGAACATAGTTCTAGTGGTAACCCTATCGGTTTTCTAGAGGATCTATTCATGTTTACCATTTTATAGTCCTCTTGGAATATGTCGGTTTTATAGTAGAGTATCCCTGGATCCTGTTTTCGAACCTGAAGCCACACCGCTGATGAGACTAAAAAGCTTTCTTTGTCTACTGTCTGTTTCTTTTGAATGAGAGGTGATCCTGTGCCGGAATATAAAGCCTCGAAGTCATCTAACTGCATCTAGAAAACTGTGGCTCCGGTTGATCTTATAAGTTGCTGCTAGTCCCATGGCGTACATATTTTCATGGTTGGTGGTTTTTTCATAATTCGTTCGATAAGTGCATGGATAATGATCAGCTTCCATGAGTGTGTGTTCACGTAGAAGAAACTTGTGAATGATACACTTTAATGAAGGACCTATTATTTGTAATATGTAAAAGTCCATTATTTCTGATCACGACACCTTCAAGGAATAACTC